ACTGCCTTTTAAAGACTATTGCCTGTAGTTAAAGCTCTCCCTCCACGAGGTCAAGGCGAACAGCAGACCTAGGCACTCTTCTTTGCTTGAGCACATGCAAGCAAGCTTTCGCCCCATTTTAAATCCTTCTCATGGGAATCAATGGCAGATCCTTTCCTATTTACACCTTCCAACACTATTTCCATGGCTGAAGGATGCTAAGTACTGTTGTTCAGCTACATGTTGGATCTTGCAAGCTGCAGAATCCTATTGGGTGCTTGCTTTTACCTTGTGAACTCAGTCAGTGGAACATGAGATCTCAGGGTCATGGGTCTGAGCCCCACGTTGGGCAAAGGATTCCTGCATTGCAGGGGGTTGGAGTGGATGATGCTTGTGGTCCCTTCCAACTCTGCAGTTCTATGGTTCTATAATTATAGTTCATCTGGAATACTTGCCCTATACTGCCTACTCAGTGGTCTTGTGCTTTTACAAGTGTCACATGTCTGTTCTGCATTTTCAGAAAGTGAATCCTTTAGTGCAGCAGCATCTGAACTTTGGAACATCCTGCCTATGGACATTAGGTGGGCATCCTCCCCAGATCATTTTAGACACCTGTTGAAAACATATTGTTTCAGCAAGCATACAAAAATATAATTTAGCTACCCTTGTGTTTCATTGGTTTTACCATTTTTTTTTATTACACAAGTAGTCTTTACGAGGTGTAAAAACTCTAAAGGGAAGGGACAGAATAAAGTTCTGTCACTGTTATTTTATTTATTTTTTATTAAATTTATATCCCACCCTGCCTCCCAAAGCTGCACAGGGAAACAGGAGCCAAGGTGTCATACTTTTGAAAGGACCCTGTCCTTCGAACCCATCCCTGGTTCAAATCTAGAACAGGGGCACCTAGGAAGATCTTCATTTACAAAATAAGTTCACTTGGTGGAAAGCACACCTTTAAATGATGTAGCCTCGAAGCTCTGCTTGAATTCGAAAGCCAGGTGGCAAAATGGCCCATCAAAGTTTACACAGCCTCGGTTTACAAAGCACGTATTTCAGTTTGAATACCATCAATATCCTATTAACTTATGTCCTAAAGCGAAATGAACTGAAATGTAGATTCAAATAACAATCATTAATCTGCCGTGTATCCTGTCACTGTAAAGAGGGGCTTTAAAAATGCCTCGCATGTTTACAGCAATGTGGAGATGATGCGATATGTTTGGCATTTTGTAATTTTCGTAAAGGGTTGAGCTACAATTAAGAGTGCTGCAGCGAAGCAGCTCACCCGCTAGAATCTTGTCATCGACTAAAAGTAGTAAGCTAGTAAAATAGAAAGGAAATACCTGATATACTTTGTCACCTCCTTGGTTAATCCATAGATTAATGTGGAAAGTGTACAGAAGAAATAAGGTTGGGAGAATCTGTCAATTTTGTTTTCTCTCAGTTTCTCTCCCCACCCCCCACCATCTCAAATTCAGTTCTCTGTATTTCCACATTAGTTTGCATTAAAAATAAAAGTCCTCCTGAAAATTCGTCAGCATTTTAGTACAAGAATACTTGAGATAGTACAAGAATACTTGGCTAGTTTAGATGTATTCAAGTCTCCAGGGCCAGATGAACTGCATCCAAGAGTATTAAAAGAACTGGCAGATGTGATCTCAGAACCACTGGCAGTCATCTTTGAGAATTCCTGGAGAACAGGCAAAGTCCCGGCAGACTGGAGGAGGGCAAATGTTGTCCCTATTTTCAAAAGGGGAAAAGAGAGGACCCAAATAATTACCGCCCAGTCAGTCTGACATCAATACCAGGGAAGATTCTGGAGCAGATCATTAAGCAAACAGTCTGTGAGCACCTAGAAAGGAATGCTGTGATCACCAATAGTCAGCATGGATTTCTGAAAAATAAGTCATGTCAGACTAACCTGATCTCATTTTTGACAGAATTACAAGCCTGGTAGATGAAGGGAATGCAGTGGATGTAGCCTACCTTGATTTCAGCAAAGCATTTGACAAGGTGCCCCATGATATTCTTGTAAAGAAGCTGGTAAAATGTGGTCTTGACTATGCTACCACTCAGTGGATTTGTAACTGGCTGACTGACCGAACCCAAAGGGTGCTCATCAATGGTTCCTCTTCATCCTGGAGAAGAGTGACTAGTGGGTGCCACAGGGTTCTGTCTTGGGCCCGGTCTTATTCAACATCTTTATCAACGACTTGGATGATGGACTCAAGGGCATCCTGATCCAATTTGCAGATGACACTAAACTGGGAGGGGTGGCTAACACCCCAGAGGACAGGATCACACTTCAAAACGACCTTGACAGATTAGAGAACTGGGCCAAAACAAACAAGATGACTTTTAACAGGGAGAAATGTAAAGTATTGCACTTGGGCAAAAAAAATGAGAGGCACAAATACAAGATGGGTGACACCTGGCTTGAGAGCAGTACATGTGAAAAGGATCTAGGAGTCTTGGTTGACCACAAACTTGACATGAGCCAACAGTGTGACGTGGCAGCTAAAAAGCCAATGCAATTCTGGGCTGCATCAATAGGAGTATAGCATCTAGATCAAGGGAAGTAATAGTGCCACTGTATTCTGCTCTGGTCAGACCTCACCTGGAGTACTGTGTCCAGTTCTGGGCACCACAGTTCAAGAAGGACACTGACAAACTGGAACGTGTCCAGAGGAGGGCAACCAAAATGGTCAAAGGCCTGGAAACAATGCCTTATGAGGAACGGCTAAGGGAGCTGGGCATGTTTAGCCTGGAGAAGAGGAGGTTAAGGGGTGATATGATAGCCATGTTCAAATATATAAAAGGATGTCACATAGAGGAGGGAGAAAGGTTGTTTTCTGCTGCTCCAGAGAAGCGGACACGGAGCAATGGATCCAAACTACAAGAAAGAAGATTCCACCTAAACATTAGGAAGAACTTCCTGACAGTAAGAGCTGTTTGACAGTGGAATTTGCTGCCAAGGAGTGTGGTGGAGTCTCCTTCTTTGGAGGTCTTTAAGCAGAGGCTTGACAACCATATGTCAGGAGTGCTTTGATGGTGTTTCCTGCTTGACAACCATATGTCAGGAGTGCTCTGATGGTGTTTCCTGCTTGGCAGGAGGTTGGACTCGATGGCCCTTGTAGTCTCTTCCAACTCTATGATTCTATGATTCTAATTTCTCTTACTATACACAAGTTTCATTGCAATTTTGCTAAATACACACATTTTCATAAGCCAATTTCCCTACTAACACATTTTTGCATGTTGTTTTCATGAATGTATGCATTTTTATGACCACTTCTCCCTAGTTTATGCAATTTTATTTGTACACACTACTTGGCTGGAGAACTACATTGCAAATTTCAGAGAAGTGCAAATTTTGAAAGGTGGTTGTGTTTCAGTTGACATGCTGTTTTGGAAACTGCAGATCAGGGCTATTTGCCTTCCAATGCAAACTGATTCAAATGTCTCCCCCATCACTGCTGATGAATAAACACATGTGAAATTGACATGGACTGTAAACGGAGAGAGCCATTAATCCCTAATGCTAATTGAATATAGAGGTCACCTTTTCAGCATCCAGATTCAATTGAGCCCTTTATTCAGACTAGTTCTCATGTACCAATGTAGAATCCCTGAAGACTCTTCTAACCTATAGAGCTCATAAAGGTCTCTCAAGGAGCTGGAGATCAGCCAAGAACCAGGCTTTTCTATAGGAGTCCAGGCTGAGCAGCCAGTAGCTGTACAAAGCTCAGGGCACAGACACCTTTCCACTCACATTGTCTATCCAGCCTCTGCATTGTCCTAACCTCGGGACTTGCCCTTTTGACTCTGACTGGAGTGCATTCTGGGTACATTCTAACTCATCCTGACACTTGGCAGTATGTTGGCAGTCCATACATGACACTTTCAGTTAGCATTGCTGTCTAAATAAATGCTTGTCAGGAATGAACATGATTTTTCCCCCCATAAGGAGTTTTACACCGTTTGAAGTCATTGTTCACCCGTCAAGGTCGGTCATGCAAGAATATGTTGCAAAACTTTTGGGGAAAAAACAAACAGCCTTCATGCAGTAGATTCTAGAAATGATTTCTTTAAAATGGTCTCGGTGTGATGTGATGTGCTTTGTTAAGCTAAAGGAGATACAATGGAGCACTGAACAATCTAACCGAATGTTATTTAGTTATTCAATTTGCTTTCTATCCTTCATCCCAGAGGAGCCCAGATCAGCAAACAGAAAGGATGTTAAATGAATGCTATTATAAAAGAAATAGAAACATATTTTAAACAATTAGAACATTGAAAACATGAGAACATCTAAAACAGGTGTGGGAAACTTTTGACCCACCAGGAGGTTCTGAACTACAAGTCCCATCATCCCTGGCCTTTAGCTATGCTTGTAGGAGCTGATGGTAGTTGTAGTTGTAGAACAATCTGGAGGACCAGAATTCTCCAAACATGATCTAAAATGCATAAAATATATTTCAAAGTATTTAAGATCTGATGGAATTGGTTTATATTTCTTATGATTATGACCTTATTACTAATGTCACTTTACAGAGTAAGGCCCCATCTGTAATTTGAGAGGTGCTGAGAGTTTTAGAAGTCCCCATTCCCCTCGCAGAGCCACAATTTTCAGAACTCCCTGAAAAGAGGGATTGATCATTAAACCACTCTGAGAATTATAGCTCTGTGAGGGAGATAGGAGTGTCTTAACAACTCTCAGAAGTCTTAACCAACTTCAGTTCCTATTATTCCTTTAGTTCTTTGAGGAAGCACTTTTAAAGAAGTGAAATTGTTCACATGGGAGTTCCATTAAAAACAAAAAAGCCAGGCATTATTACATATCAGGATTCAGCTTTTTACAGCTACATCTTGGTCTGTATTATCACAAAGCCTTTTAAAGCACAGACACACGGATGTGGACAAAGGTAGGTAGGTAATAATTTTATTTGCTTAGCTATAAACATAACAAAACAGTCGGAACAAGGGGAGTGGAGACAAAGCCACTTCATTTGCTGTTGGTCACTGATGTCACTAAATGGCCAAATCTGATTGGTCATAGATTCATAGAGGGACTACAAGGGTCATCTAAGTCCAATCCCACAAAATGCAGGAATCTTTGGGCCCATGTGGGGTTCAAACCCACTACCTGGAGAATAAGAGTCTCGTGCTCTACCAACTGAGCTATCCCAGCTGGTCATGTGGATAAATGAGATCATAGTGCTCATTATGTGATTCTCGAGGTCATAAAGGCCTTTTGAACCATCATCCCAACTTGTTACCAGTTTTCCTGCCAGCCAGGTGCTGATTTGGGAAGGATTCTAGAGGAAGAGGACAGTGGAAACAGCCGTGGCTAATTCACTTGAATCCCAGCTCATAGACTAGATAAGGGTGTTGCTGCTGTGGTACCCAAGGCAACACCAAAGGGATTTATCACTAGTTGGATGAAGGTGTCACTTCTTCAAGTTTGTGTTGTTGAATGTAGTTATTTGGAAGGAAAGAAAGAGGAGAATGTAAGGGATGTAATATTGAGAACTGGAATTGTGTGTGTGTTTTAGTGCCCAAGAGTGAAGGTCTCAGTTGTCATATTTTCGTGTGTCATGAAGTTGCTTAATATCACTCAGTGTGAGCAACTGAACTGGTACAGAGTTAGACCATGCCTGGGGGCGGGGGAGATGGAGACAGAGTGGCTATGTTGCTGTTTGTGTGGTAGTGTATTATCATAGATGGAGGTGGGAATGAGCTGGTTGTGAATTATGTTTAATGTTGCCAGAGATTTTTGTACACCAGATATATACTGTGACAAATGGTTGGCCGGCTGGGGATTAGCTGCGCTATGATATGGTCTGCGGGAATGGTAGAGTATGTGAGAAACTTCAAGGGACAGTTGTTTTGTTTGGATGCAAATGATGCTTTCATATCTGATTTTTTATTTTTTATTGCACCTGATTCTTACTTAAAATGCTTTTTGATGTTCAATAGGATAGTTTGGCTCCTTCTTAATTATGCCGCTCTCAGTGTGGATCTTTATGGTATTTTGTGTTTGCTTTTCACTTGTAATATTTTATTTTGATATCTCGTAATGTTGTATTCAATGTTTTCAGATATGTTGTAAGCTAGTCCAGTTATTTCCTATCTGCTTTGGCCTGTGATTTTCATTCTGTAACAATTTATGTATTCAGCAATGTTTTGATTTTGTAGTAAAACTGCACCTTCCTTGATCCTAAGCTCTTGTCTACTGTCTAAGAAACCAATTCCCCCATATACTAGGGTAAAGTATAATCTCCCCCTCGGCATACTGTGACTTTGAGCTGAAAAGTCTTATTACACATGTGGCTCACATGTTCACATGCATGCTACATCATGTGATGCAATGAAAAGTAGGGCTTTTGTGATTCCCCAGTTTCTTTCCTACATTGATGTTCTGCTTTTCTTCCAGTGACTTCAGTGTGCTCCAACCAGCCTTCTCTTCATGACAACCTTTTTAACTTTGTATGTTTGCAACAGCAGCCAGGACAATAAACATGGATGACGAGGTGAAGTGGATTAAACATGGGTCACATTTATTGAATTAAATACAACTAAGATCTACAGCAGGGTTTCCCAAACTTGGGTCTCCAGCTGTTTTGGGGCTACAGTCCCCTTCATTCCTGAGCAATGGTCCTGCTAGCTAGGAATGATGGGAAGTTTGGGAAACCCTGATGTTATGTACTGATTTGAATAGGATCCAAAAGGCGGCAGTCTGATTGATCCTAGAACAATAGGATTCAGAATGCAGCAGTCTTACTGGTCCTAGAACAATAGGGTCCAGAATGCAGCAGTCTGATTGGTCCACAGGACCCACCCAATCCAGCTCCAGGTGGAAGTCAATCCGCAACCTGATTGGCCTACAGGTGAATCCTGGAATTAGCCAATCACGTGGGGCCCATTGTGTAAATAATGTATATAAAGCAGACGTTCTGGGGGAACTTCCATTCCTCCTCACCACTATGAGCTGAATAAAGAGCATGAAATCCACTCTCGACTCCAAGTATATTTCACCTGATCTACAGTGTAATTAAGGTTGTAGGAAGCTAGCCGTAAACCAATTTGGTGAATTAACTCTGGCAGTCAGAAAATTGGGATGTTTTAATGCCACACCTCATGGAAGACCTATCCCTAAGTGTGAATAGGGAGACCATCTTGGCCCATTCCCCTCCCATGGCAACACAACTTACAAGTTAGCTTCAGAGGTGATTCTTAACCTATCAGCAGGCCCCACAACTTTTGGAAGGAAAATTGGGTCCCGCCTTTTCACCTGAGTGGATGCTAACCAACCCGACCTTACCTTCAGAATTCCTGCCTTGAGCTTGCCTTTGCAGATGTTTTGTGTATGGTCCTGATCTCACATTTGTCACTCACAAGCTCATAAAATTCATGCCATACGGGCTTGTGGTTGCTGATCACTACTTAACTGCCACATTTGTTACTTGAATAATCCAAGAGAAAAGACATGTCTTGGCACAAGAGCCATAAAGTTGTTCCCTGCCTTTTTAAAAAGTTATATAATAAGCGTTGCTAAGCAGAAAGATAAACTCCAACTTTGTGCTTGCTGATGGGCCATCTGGTTCACGTCCTCTTTAAGTCAGCTTTACAATGCTTCCATTCATCTCTCTTTATGATAAGGCAAAAGGTAACTGTCAGCGATGGCTCTGCAAACCATATGTCTTCCTGGGTGGCTGCTGAATTAAAGATAATCAGATCCACAGCAGAAAAAATATCCAATTAATAGAATAGAGGCACGATAAAACTTTCAGACAAGCTAGCTAGGTGCAAAAAAGGTAACTGCAGCTAACAGCTGGGTAGAAAGGGGGGATTTCAACTGTTGTAGCTCGTATGATATTTTACTCTGTGCTGAATTGTGGTCATTTTTTTAAAAAAACAAATGCATGGTAGGAATAGCAGAGACATTTGATTCACTTCACATTTAGAAGCGAGCTTAGCTAATTTGCACTTTGCAAATGCATACTGATACACAATCATCCTTCGACATCCACACTTTTCAAAATTGTGCAATGGAGTTCTCCAGCCAAGTCAGGTGCACAAAAATGTATATAATCCTGTAAAGTGTACATCAAAGCGTATGCATATTTGTGAAAGTAAAAAGCAAAAGTGCATTAGATATGGGGAAACTGCTTTGCCAAAATGTGTATATTGGGGGAAATTGCATAGATAAATATGTATATTAGGAAAATATTATCTCTAAAATGCTGCTGCATTTTCATGAGGATTCTTTTTTAAAAAATCACACACGGATGTGGCTATGGCGAGTATCCAGCTGCAAATATACAACTAAGGTGATGACAACTACACTTCCTGCATGTGAATGTGAAGAGGAGGTTTCTTTGACAGGTGCCCCAGACCTCCCATCTGCTGAAGACTCACCAAAAGACTGATCTTAAGGCTCTTTTGGATGTTTTATAGAGTTGTTTCAGACTATCTTTGGTTACTGTTATTTATATATGTGTTACATTACTTTGAATTTCATCACTTGATTATTACCACATTTTGTCCACCCTGAACTCCTAAAAAGAATAAAATGAAAGAGGAGAGGACACCCTTAATTCTTCTAGTTACTTGAGAAACCATCTTAACCCAGTAGGTCACTGCACTTTTCAGTCTCCTTAAAGAAAGCCCTAATATATCAGAAGCTCACTTGAGGGAAACTTGGAGCTGGGCATTCAATGTGGTTTCCCCTGTTTTGTGGGAAAGCATCCCTCTTGAGATACGGCCCGTGCCTCACTATTTATACTTCTTAGAAACAAGTGCCAACAAAGGCCCGTATAGCTAAAGCTATGGTTTTCCCAGTAGTGATGTATGGAAGTGAAAGCTGGACCATAAAGAAGGCTGATGGCCGAAGAATTGATGCTTTTGAATTATGGTGCTGGAGGAGACTCTTGAGAGTCCCATGGACTGCAAGAACATCAAACCTATCCATTCCCTGAGTGCTCACTGGAAGGACAGATCCTGAAGCTGAGGCTCCAGTACTTTGGCCACCTCATGAGAAGAGAAGACTTCCTGGAAAAGACCCTGATGTTGGGAAAGATTGAGGGCACAAGGAGAAGGGGATGACAGAGGACGAGATGGTTGGACAGTGTTCTCGAAGCTATCAGCATGAGTCTGACCAGACTGCGGGAGGCAGTGGAAGACAGGAGTGCCTGGCGTGCTCTGGTCCATGGGATCACGAAGAGTCTGACATGACTAAGCAACAACAACAACAAAGAAACAAGTGGAGGATTTTTTTTACAAGGTTTTTCAGTTTTTCAAACCTATCTTTAGTTTTAAAATTGTTTTAAAAATCTATTTTAGTTGTGTTTATTGTGTAGTAAATCACCTTGAGACTCATGTGCAAGAGGACTGATGATGATGATGATACAGTTAGGATAAAACTTTTCATTATTTCTCATTGCTGTTTCAGGTTTCCAACATTTAAGCATGTGGGTTGCACACGCTCTTTAAGCTCATAGCTTTTAGAAGGCTTTATTCTAGTCTTCTTGCATTTTGCTATCTTACAATGTTTGATTGATGAGTGCTCACCTGTTATGTAGAATGAGTGTGCCATCTGTGTACCTGTACACTCTTTGTTATTCACATATAATGTTCAATGTGTGCGCACTCTGTGTACATGTGAATAAAACAGTTAAGTTGCACAGATCAACAAGTATATACTCTCCTGCAGAAGCACTTGTAAAGTACAAGTGTAGTGTCAGTACTTGTGTTCAGGGCAACATGTGTAACAAGCGTTGATTTATGGCAGTTTATTGTACTTGTTCTGTATATTTTGTTTTAATGTGCTACTCACCACTTGGGCAGCCTTTGGGCCCAAAAGCAGTATATAAACAAACTGCATTAAACAAGCAAGCAAACGGATAGATGGCTCATATATGAATGTATTAATTTATTTCCATTTAAAAGCACTGTGCTCCAGGTGACATTAAGAGATTTGAAAGCTGTAAGACAGATATGCGATATGCAAATCAGTATAGGACATTACAGAGTAATTTGAGCACTGAATATACATGTGAACTGCTCTTGAAACTGCTCTAGAATAGCAACAATATTTCAGTATATGCTTTATTATAGTCTGCTATTAATAGAGATGTCATTATGATTTTCCTTCTTTATACTCACCCTGAGCCTTTGAGATAGAAAGAGCTTAAAAACAAAACAAAACCTCAGACCAGATAAAATACAATGTAAAATTGATGTAAATATTTGGTTATGGAGCAATTTCTGCATGTTCTGTATCACTACAGTTTCCCTTTTAGGATTTGACAGTGCATTTTGCTTGCAATTTATTTGCAGAAATCCATCTTTCGGAATTCACCGGGGGCTCTGAAAGCGTGTTTTTGTGTGTGCCTGAACCCCAGTTCAAACCAGAAGACCCCTAGAGGCCACCCCGTTCTTTTAACTGTCTGTAAAAGCTAACATACTTTATCATGCCTGCTGTGAAATGGCTAACTTAATACACAAGTGAACTCTATTAAGCACATGCCTATTGTCAAAGTCAGCTGCTCCGGGCAGTGCCATTCCAGAAAAGCCATGGATCAAAAAAGGTAATCAGAAGTGACAAGCAATATCTCCAACACTCCCTTGTAAAGAGCATGCTTGGCAAGGATATAGGTGGAGGCTGCTGAGGGCGCATTCCAATAATAGTAAAATCATACAAAAATGCAGAATAGCATCTCCCACATTGCTTGCATGTTTTTATGACTACTAGAGCAAGCCTGTAAAATATATTTGAAATGGTCGGCTACCATGGAGGGCACAGATAAAGGAGCAGCTTTTCCTAATAGAAAGTATTATTTCATGGACTCTGTGACTTTTGTGATTTAGTTGGATGCACAGAGCTATCTAGTGGATACAAGTGAGTGGGGAGGAAATTTGCCTCCTGTGCTCATAGACCAGATCAGTGGCAAACCATAGAGGGTCCCAGACGCGCCAAGTTGCCCCCAAGATTGAGGGGGCCTGGTGTGTGGTGCACATGTGTGATGTCACACGAGTGCTGTGTGTCACATGTATGTGATGTCACGCACACCACACACTGCTCACCAGACATATGTGATGATGTCAGGTGTGGTGAGTCCTTTCCCCCTCCGGTAGCATCAAAGGCAAGAATAACAAGCAGCTCGTATTTCATAGTCCTTTTTATTCAGTCACCTGGTTGTAAGACAAGAATCCATGTCTCCACACAAAGAGAGACGTTGGCTACTCTGAGGCCCTCTTCTTCCGTCCCCTACAACATCCTGAGCGCCAGCAGGAAGTCCCAGGAGTCCCACCCCTCTGCCCTCTCTGTTTTAGAATGTGGAGGGACCAACGGGCCCATGGAGGTGGAAGATCCCCCATACTCTCCAGGGAGATCTCTACCGGCTGCACCCTCCCCTCCCCTTCCTCCTCCACTATCTTGTAACTAGGCAATTCTTCCTTGAACGGTATAGCATATCTCTCTCTCTCTCTCCTCCTGAAACTGCTGTAGATAAGGGGGGGGCAAAGTTTTCCCCTCCTCTTCTTTGGAAAGAAGCTGATCAGACTCAGTGCACACTGCCCAGTCTTCCTCTTCTGACCATTCCCTGACAGATGTCATGCAAGCAACATGCATGAGTCAGCACATTGTCTGGAGGAGCCAGCCACTGAAGCCGCAACTCGCAATGTTTGTGACATTGCTTGCTGGGCCCCTCAACACTGCGGCAGCCCAGCCCCTTTCTAATAAGTACTGAGGGGGCTGAAGACACGCCTGCCCTCTAGAGTTGGTGTGCCTGAAGGGCCCATAGGTAAGTGGAAAAGCATATAGTTCCATGTCATGGATGGGGAAATGATGGCCCACCAGACACTGATCTGTGCAAACAAAAGTCATTCACACTGGGACTTCCCCCCTTTCCATCCCCTGCACACCCTACAAATCTGTTCTCCAGAGCAGATTTGGGAATGTTGCAGGGCACATGCAGAGAGAAGATTGGGAAGAAAATCCATTGTGCAAGTGGTAATACTGTCCATTGTTGAATACATGGGATACTGCCAATTGTTGGATTCCCAATTCTCACTATCCCTTGCCATTGGCCATGCTTGCTGATGCGGATGTGAGTTGGAGTCCAACAACATCTGGAGGGTCACAAATTCCACACAGTGGTGGACTTTGGTAGTCTTTCATAATATGGCACTCTGTGTGAGGCCAAAATTTGTTGCCCACAAACGGATCTTCTCAATTTTGCCCCCCTCCCCTGGCTCAGAGCCCTATGTGAGGAAACCACCTGCACCACCCTAAATCTGGCACTGTTCCACAATCCTGCTGTAGATGTACAGGGTTTGAAGTTCAGTCATGGATATCAGCAGTTAAATTATCCTGGGCAGTTGGTCTTTGGCTGAGACCCAGAGGGGCTCTTTCAGACAGAGACAGAGTTAGGTAGACTTGAGTTAGAAGGACTCAATATGAGCCTAATTACAGATGAACCTAATATAAGGCTGCTTTCATAGGTTCACAGTTATCTGTATTTGTATCCAGCCACACAGAAATAGTGGGTAGCATGTCATTTTTCAAAGGCAAAATTCCAAAAGAGTAGGGAAGATTAATTGTTACCAGAGTGATATATCACTTCTGCATGGCTGAATACTGTGTCACACAGTTGCGATTTAGATGAAGAAGTTATAGTTGATGGATGGATCACATGGGAAATAACCACATAAGCACCACAACTTCAGAAAGTAACCAAGAGGGTGTGAGTCGCTGATGTTACTTCCCAAATGATTCAACTATCCTATATAATTCCTTCATTTACGAAATCCTGTGGCACATTCCTCGCATCCACAGGCTTCCTCTTTTTCTCTTTTACACTGGGGAAAGCCCTGTTTGCACAGAGGGAAATCACTGCACACACAGTTTGCTTCCTTTCATAAACTGTGCAGCGGTTCCTTGCATGGCATGAGATTCCGACTTAAACTGTGCAAGCATTGTAAAAAATTTTTTCCTCAATAAGGTTTTCAGAATGTCTTAACTCAATACCTATATGTAACTGCTGGATTTTATACATTTATTAGAATTTCATTTTACACGTTAGGCTATGATCTATTTATTTACTGCTTTTTGGCCCAAAGACCGCCAAAGCAGTCAACAGCACAAAGCATACCATGAAAGAAGCTTACAATAAAATTGGAGTAAATCCAATACAGTGGTACCTCGGGTTAAGAACTTAATTCATTCTGGAGGTCCGTTCTTAACCTGAAACTGTTCTTAACCTGAAGTACCACTTTAGCTAATGGGGCCTCCCGCTGCTGTCACCCCACACCACACATTTTCTGTTTTCATCCTGAAGCAAAGTTCTTAACCCGAGGTACTATTTCTGGGTTAGCGGAGTCTGTAACCTGAAGCGTCTGTAACCTGAAGCATCTGTAACCTGAAGCGTCTATAACCCGAGGTACCACTGTATAACAATATAAAGCAGAAAGTATCACTAAATATTCAGTGATCACATTCATGAGTGACATTCATGGTCTCAACTCAGACCCAGCTCTCCAACATTCCACCTCCCACTTAGATATTGATAATATGATATACTGATATACGAAGATATATGAAACCCACTGTGAGGTGTTATCTAGGGATTTGGAGCAGATTGTCATTAGTGGGCTGATGACACCTAGCACTGTATCTCCATTACATCTGAATCATCTAGGCAAGTTTGGGACCAGTGTCTAGAGGCAACAATGGACTGGGTGAGGGCTAATAAATTGAAGCCGAGTCTGGATAATATGGAAGTTTCAGTGGGTAGGTGGTTCTTGAGCATGGGAATTAGGAAGATTTCACACCTCCTGAAGAAATAGTTACATGTCTTGACGATTCTCCTCAATTCTATGCTGACACTAGACGCTCAAGTGGCTTCAAAAGCAGGGAGTACCTATTTTAGGGTTGCCATACATCTGTAATTTCCCAGACATAGCTGACAATCGGCAGTCATAAACAGTGTCCAGGCGAAAATCACTTAAAAGTCCATGAAAATCCGGATGTATGGCAACCCATGTCGGCAGTGTCCTTTCTGGCGATTTCCCTTTAAAATAGCTCAAAAACCTTTTTGCTCAACAAAATGTTGAAATATGGCAACCTTACCTATCTCCAGCTGGTTCACCAGCTACAGCCGTTTCTGGGTGACAGAAATGGCTGTAGCCATTCGTGGAGATTGCCATTTATTTGCAATTTGAGCATTTCAGCTAATATATTACTTCTTCCACTTGGCTTCAATTGCAGGTTTGTCCATTTGGGGAATGCTTGAAGTATGAACTGCTCCTTATCTAACCCAATCCCCTCCCATATATTCTTAGGATTAAGAAAGGCTGAATAGTACTTAATAAATACAGTGGTACCTTGGGTTACATACACTTCAGGTTACATACGCTTCAGGTTACAGACTCCGCTAACCCAGAAATATTACCTCGTGTTAAGAACTTTGCTTCAGGATGAGAACAGAAATCGCGTGGTGGCGGTGTGGTGGCGGCAGCGGGAGGCCCCATTAGCTAAAGTGGTGCTTCAGGTTAAGAACAGTTTCAGGTTAAGAACAGACCTCCGGAATGAATTAAGTACTTAACCTGAGTTACCACTGTAGTTGGATTCAGAATAAGGTTGTTGAACTTAGTTCCAGTTGAAATCAGTAGGACTGAAGTCATGCCTAACTTGTCCCATTGATTTCAATAAGACCTAGATTATACTAACTCAGGGCACAGTTCCAACCCCCTCGGCACCAGGCTCCGGCAGAGGTGTCTCCTCCACCCAGATTGCTGGCCTCTAGCAGCATCTGCCTGCACCACTCTGCTGGTGCAAAGCTTCCTGTTCCACTCACTGGATATGCAATTTGCCTGCCTCCACACCTTCCATTCTGCCTGGCATGTGTTGCAGTACTGCAGATGCAGTAGTGTCTCCACCACTCCATTAAGCCCTGCCATAAAGCAGCCAGGGTTTGGATCTCATCTTCAGTCAGGATCCAACCCAATGTGTTTCTAATAAGCAATTTAGGAAAAATAATCCCATATTTTTCTAAATCAGATCAAATAGCAAGTAGAAAAGGAGGGGGAATAGGAGGGGGTGGGGATATGGGAAAATCCCAAAGCAGTGACTTTTTCAGATGAATTACATACACCGTGCAAAGGCAATGTTTTGCCTGACATTTTCCATGCAAACAAAATACTTGTCCAAACTGAGTGATGAATTTGTCCTGGTCTTTGACAGAACAGAATACAGAATTCTGAGCTTCTTTTCTTATTGTGTGACTGCCGCTTTCTCCCCCAAAATCCTGATATGTTAAAATAGCGATCCACTGATCAACTAAGGCCACAATCTTAACACCCATTTTAAGGAAGCAAATCCTGTTGAACTCAGCACCGTTTGATACCATCACCTGTCCTACTGGAGCAATGCTGTGGGGTGGGAATTGGTGTCACAGTACTGCTGTGGTTCCATTCTTACCGGCCAAAATATTCATAGAGACTGGC